TAAGAGAGGTCTCGAGTTCAAGCCTCACCGAATGTAGAAAACTCTTGTTGGGAAGCTCACCTACTAATTTACTATAAGTCAAGGTGTGCAACACAGATCGAATCCGAATGTAGTCGAAACTAAGTTCCGGTGAATCGAATGAGGCAAACTCAAAAAAACATAGAGTTTATAACTAGAGCATTACCTTTAATAATCCCTTTATATATCCTTAATAGAAGAGAACTTTATAGGTAAAAAAGTAGTAAAATTATTAGAATAGTGTTGGGATCTAAAATAAAAGCAAACATAATACTTCGTACATATAGAAGAGAATTGGGTTCTAAAATAAAAGCTTGGAGTACCATATATGTCTTCAATTGTCAAAGATATAAAGTAATTATAAAGTAATTCCTTGTTTTTCTATAGTTGCAACTAAAGATGGCACAGGCCGTGTCGACACGCGGGCGGCACGGGCCCGCACGACAAGGGACAAATATTGAAAATTGACACGGCACGGGCACGATCGTTGGCACGCCAGCACAACCCACCAGCATGTTATTTTTATAATATATATATTGATATTTTTATAATATATATATGTATATATTTAAAAAAAATTATAAAAACGTGGTGGCCCGCCGCATGACACGGCCCGCTAGGCACGTGGGTCGTGCCGTGGGCTGTGGTGTGCCAAAACTTGGCACGGCACGACACGAGCCCCACCCCGACACGGCCCACGACGGCACAGCATGACACGATGCCCATCTTTAGTTGCAACACTTCTTTTCACGCTTGCCGATGTATGTTTTGAATCATTAATATCTTTGACTATCAATATGTGAAAATTATAAATTTTAGATATTAAAATTGTACAAATCGATACGAATCTAACAAAATCTCACATGACTATATTTATATTTATGTATAAATCGTCAAAACTAGTCAAAGTGAAACACAATAATAGTGTAAAAGTTAAATTGTTGCAACTAAAAAAAATTAAAAAAAAATTAAAAAAAAAAAAACGGAAAAGGTATTACATTAGAAGGTTTGTAATTACTTTGAAGCAAAGGAAGTCTTCTATGACACCACATATTTTTTAAGGTTAAAGAAAAAGGCTTTGTAAGTATGTATATACTACTTCCTTTGTTCTTTTTTTACTTGACCTATTTCTTTTATCACGCTTGTCAATGCAAACTTTAGTGATCAATAACTTTAATTCTTGAAAAAAAAAATTATAAAAATTGTATATTACGACTGTACTTATTGAGACGAATTAAAAAAGATATCATATGAATTTATTTTTCCTTACATATTATTCACAAAAGACGGTCAAAGAAGAGGTAGTGAATAGTGTAAAAGTCAAAGCGGGTCAAGTAAAAAAGAACGGGGGAAGTATATGGTAGCCAAAAATGTTATTACCATTGTAATTAACCAGGATTATTATTACAAAGACATAGTTTAAAAAAAAAAAAAAAGTTATATACACCCGGGTACAAAATACATCAAGGTTATTTTTTTGCTCAATGATTAATCAACACTCATTTAATCATTAAAATAAGAAGAAGAAAAATATCTTTAATACACCGTATATATATCTTAGTGCATACTTCCTCCGTTTCAATTTACTTGACTTATAGTCCCATAGCACGCAATTTAAGAAGTTAATTAAAGTAGACAAACGATATTTTTATTACAAAAAAATTAAACCACCAATAAAAGGGATAAATTGGGGTTTCATGACATTATTTTTTTAATTTAGCTTATGTTTATCTTCTTTAATCTCTTCTTTAAATTGCGTGTCAAATGACTATAGATCAAGTAAATAGAAACGGAGGGAGTATAATAACCATATAATATAATAACTACCACAACAAACATGGTCAACAATTAGTTACATCAATTAGTTACATCAAAAAGCTATAGGTTTTCGGTACCTTGTTTCTAGTCAATAATTCATGCATAGAGACAAAATCAATACTGGTAGCACAAGTGTGCTGTTCACATCTTCTTCTTTTTTTTCTATTTCGTTCTTTTTTTTTTCCCCCTGTAACTAGCATGTAATATGAATCTATGATCATGCAATTCACGTATGCTGTTTGCTGTATGCACTTATAAAAATAGTAGGCTAACTCAGATTAGAAAAACAATCAAAACAAAACATGTATATATGGAGTACCATTAATGACCGAAAAACCCAACACATAAAGGGACCGTTTTGCTCATTTATAACATGAACACAACAATAACAATCAGTTTACAAACAAAAGGACCAATCGGTTTTAGACTAAGCTAGTTAAGGTACATTTTACTCGTAGATTGGTAAGACGAATAGGTCTACCATGGAGATAGAGAATAATTATTCAACATAAACCTCTTATGCAAGTTGACATATTAGCTATTACAAATTTACATTCCAAAGTAATTAATATTACATACTTTTGTTAATAAACACGCAAAATATGATCCGGTACAATGCAAATTCAACGCTAAATGGTTAGAAAACCTTTACATACAAAAGATAACATTTTTTTCATTAATAAGGACAGCATAAATAGTACTTAATTGAAGAGAACTTTATAGGTCAAAAAAGTAATAAAATTATTAGAATAGTATTGGGATCTTTAAAATAAAAGCTAACATAATCATAATACTTCTTATATATAGAAGAGAATTGGGATTTAAAATAAAAGCTACGAGTACCATATGTCTTCGATTGTCAAGATACAGAGTAATTATAAAGTATTACATTAATCATTAGAAGGTTTGTAATTACTTTGAAATAAAGAATGTCTTTTATGACGCCACATATCTTTTAAGGTTAAAGAAAAAGGCTTTGTATGTACGTATATAGCAGCCAAAAATGTTACAACCATTACCATTGTCATTTGTCAATAACCAAGAATTTTTATAACAAATGCATAGTTGATAAATTTTGTATAAATCAAGACGTAAGATCTACCAAGGAATTTTTGCTTATTCAGTGATTACATGAGCAAATATATATACATACTCCGTATATATTTGTGCACCATACATTCAGATAGGGTGTCAATTCGAATAATCAGATTGAGTCTAATAAGGTCGGGTTGGGTCGGATAAATTTTTAAAATTGAGTTATACTAAATTATTATGTCCACACGAGTCCAAATCTGAATCAGATATTTTTCGAGTCGATTTTGAATCGGGTGGGGTTGGGGGTGGTTTTAATACCTCTACATTCACCACAACCCACATGGTCAACGATTAAGGTTACATCAAAAGGCTATAGGTACGTTTATCTCTTTGAAATAATTCATGCATAGAGACAAAATCAATATTGGTAGCACAAGTGAGAAGTGTTCACATCTTTTTTTTTTTTTTTTTTTTTTTCCTATGACTAGCAGGTAACGTATGCACCTCAAAAAATGGTAGGCCAACTCAGATCAGATATTAATATATTATACTAGAGGATTAGAAAGCATGTTTGGAGTACCATTAATGAGCAAAAAAATCCTACATATAAAGGGGACCATTTTGCTCATTAATATGAACACAACAATAATAATCTTTTTACAAACAAAAAGGGCCAATCGGATTTAGACTAAGCTAGTTATGGTACTTGTTTGTAGATAAATAAGATGAATGGGTCCACCTTGGAGAGAGAGAAAATAAGGATTCAACCATAAACCTCTTATGTAAGTTGAAATATTAAAGCATACAAACTTACTTTTCAAAGTAAGAGTCTATTCACATTTACTTAATTTTAGTTCATTTCAGCTCCAATCAGTTCAGTTCAGTTAAGCTCCAATTAGTTCAGCTCAGTTTAACTCTTAATTTTTCTCACATAAAATATTCATTTCAGCTTAGTTCAGTTCAGTTCAGTTCAGCTCTAATTAAGTAATCATTTCAGTTTAGCTCCAATCAGTTCAGTTCAACTCAGTTTAGTAAGTGTGAACATGCCCTAATTAGTATTACGTACTTTTGTCAAATATACACGCAAAATATAATCTAGTACATTACCCAAAATTCAACGCTAAATGGTTAGAAAACCTTTACCTATAAAAGATACCATTTTGTTCATCAAGGACAGCATACGACATACATAGTAACCATTATTTCTCATATAAGTATAACCAATTAAAAGTTTAAATTGGTTACGAAATACAAATTCTTACTCGTAGATAAGATGAAAGGGTATATATCTTAAAGAGAGTAAAAATTCAACCCTGCTACAGTGCTACTTATGCAAGTAATTGAAAATTAGTGACCAGGGTAGGTTTTTCAAGAATAAGGAAACAAACATATTAAGGGGGCGTTTGGTTAGTGCATTTTTTGAATTGGAAACAAATTCAATTAAACCAATGTCGTTATAATGTGTTTGATTTAAAAGTATGGTAACAATTACCATTACTTGAGGGTAATGGTTACCCCTCATTTGTTACCTCTCAAAAACTTGGGATAACTAATACCCTTATCCTCCTCTTGGTTAAACCTAACAAATGAAAAAGTTATACCTAATTGATTCCTTTTCCTTTTTATTTGTTTTTCCTTTCTACTCTGTTTTCATTTTCCAAACCAAATGCAAGTAGTTTTTTCAACAATAAGGAAACAAACATACATAGTACGGAGTATTAAGGTTGATCAATTATTATGCACTTATGCTATGATATTCTAAGAGATTTGTTAACTAATCAAATTTTGACTTAAGCAATCAGAATCAGAATGATTAACTGCTTCCCTAAAGTCTTGAGCCTGAAATTTTCTGGGCTTTATGGGCTTTTTTTATTGTTGGTTTATTCTCACGTAAACTGCTAGAATTGGATAGCCCATTAAGAAGATAATCTAGCTTCTTTCTCAAAAATTGAAAAGAAAAATCAAGCCCACTTATATAAATTTTCGATTACATATTTGGCTTATATTCTCAATGTGGGACAATTTGAGTTTATGTCCGCTATAAGCTTTTGACAAACTACTATCTTTCTATATAGTAAGTAGTGCTCCCTTGATAATCTTACTAGTGGAGTACACACCTTTCAGTGTCATACTCTTATCAGTGAAATAGATGATAAAATTTGCTGCAATTTGTGAGTTTTCCAATGGTTCTAAAAGATTATTGTATAATTGTAGATAAAACAGCTGAAAATCATTGTAAAATATACAAAAACTTCCAGTCCAAAACAAAGTACTAGTAAAATAGAACTAAGAAGATGCTGTATTTTCCCTTCAATTCTTCAATATATCTTTGCTCTTCAGATACTCCACAGTCGAGTCATAAATCTCTCCAATCCCATGCTTGAACTCGAATCCCTCGTTAACGAGCTTCTCTGAAGAAAGGATCAACTTGGCCTTAGAAGGAAGTTCTCCGAAACTGCAGTCATCAACCAAAATGTAACACCGAATAAATTCACTGTCTTTGAGTCATACATAATCATTATAAACTCCAATTTAAGAAAAATAGTTTGAAATAATACTCTGTAGGAACATTATACTGAGGGTATTTGTTACTTAAGAACTTGGCGAGATCAACAACACTAGTGTTAACAGCACAGCAGATGTAACGCCCTGAAGCTGATTTGTTCTCTGCTAGGAAAATGTGTGCACGACAAACATCTTCTACGTGTGTAATCGAAATTGAACCAGACAGTAACTGCATACCCTTCATACCATTTATAAGGGACTCATTTCCTGCAAAATCGCGACATATATTTCCTGCAGGACATGAGTCTTATGACTACAGGACTAATGACAACATTTATTTTTGTACATTTAGAATGAGAATTATGGACCTGTTAGCAGGCACGTAGCAAGACCGATGCTGCTAGGGACATCAGGAGTGAAAGCAGCACCAGTGATCAAAGATGGTATCACAGTAATGAGATCGAGGTTGTTTTCCTTAGCGAATTTCCAGGCTTCTTTTTCAGCTAGTGTCTTAGACACAGGGTAGCCCTGTAAATTATTAAAGAACAATTGTAATTTAAAGTGTGACACATTCAATTAATTAATGTGGTAGTATAAATTTGTTTTAGTACATACCCAAAGAGGTGGCTTTTTGGAGTAGAGGAAATCAACATCAGTCCAATCCTCCTCGCTCATCACAAGACCATCCCCGGTGAGACTATTGATCGAAACAGCAGCAGCAGATGAAGTCATAACAACGCGTTTCACAGACTTTGCCTTCGTGCAGGCTGTCAATACGTTTATTACTCCTTGCATTGCAGGCTTAATCATATCTGCCTGTCAATATCAGACTTTAAGGTCAATCTTAATCATCACTATAAAGATCAAAGTCAATACTTCCTATATATTCATAAAAAAAAGCTTACTTACTTCAGGGTCCTGAGAGGCAAAGTTGACAGGGGTGGCGACTAGGAAAACAACATCACAGCCTTCTACCGCGGCATCAAAGCTCCCTTCATCGGTTAAATTTGCTTTAAATACTTTCAGCTCACCAAGATCTTTCAGTGCTAAGAGGTGTGATATCTTCTTCTCATCACCTACATCAATCAACATAATTGTACAAGCATTTAATTATATGTCAAAATCACATGTCTCAATCAATAGAAAGTTTGGTGAAACTAAAACTTCCTGTGTTACAGTCTTACACAATTACATACAGTACCATGAAATAAAAATGTGCTCAAAAGAAAGGTGTTAAAAAGAGAGTTAGTTACCAGGGTCTCTAGCAGTCGTATTGACCAAATAGCCCTTTCGCAATAACAATTTAACAAGCAGGGATGCCACGAATCCTGTACCTCCTATGACACAGGCTTTCATGCTCTTCTTCTCTTCATGATCATGTTGTTGGACTAATCCAGCCATATTATATATTAATTTATTTGCGAAACCTAATAGGAATCCTAAATATTATGTAACAATGAAGTTCTAAGGTTTATGTTTTTGTAATAATGTTTGGTTTTTTAGTCTCTCTTATATATGCACAAACCAGAATACGTTAGAGATTAGCAGGGGAAGAAATTTTGGCAGGTGAAAATGTGATTTTCTAATGCCACGAGAAGGTGAGCATGTGACTATCTACTCATATTGTCAAACTCAAGTATAAAAAATGTCACGGACCTTTATAGACTTAGGCCGTGTTTGATTCAACTTAATAAGTTAAATTATTTTTTAGTGAACTGAAATTATTTTTACTGATTTTCTATTATAATTATTTTTTTAAGAAAACTGAATTTTAAATGTGAACAGACTCGGTCCCAATTCATTTTTCGGACTAGGATTTCTAACTTGGTGTCTAAGGTTAAAGTTCATTTATCATTAAACACAAATTAATTAAAATTATTTTGTTTTTTTAGTTGTGGTGTCAATGTGGGACTTTCTGATAATGCTACTTTGATCAATAATAAAGAATTACTTCATGTGACTAATGTCAGTCTGATTAATAAGTAGATAAAATTAGAAGACTTCGCACAATTTGCTTCATATTTTTTTCATAAAAATCCTTCTAAACTTGATTTAATTATAGGGAAAATGCTATGATTGCTAGCATCGTTGTTGTAACATAGCTTTTAGTGACAAACTTGAAAAGCGTAAAAGTCAAACTGTAAAACTGTAAGTACTCCGTTACATTACTACTAGAAGGAAAAATAGGGTCCATTAATTATTTTAGTGACAAACTAAACTATTAACTGAAACTCTAGAAACATTTAGAAGAAATAACAGAAGTGAATAGCTAGAACACATTTTGAAAAAAAATACTACTAACAAGTAAGAGTAATGTTTGGAATGATCCTAGTTGAGAAGCATGACCCGAGCTCGATTCAGCTGATGAAGCACAAGTTACCTTAGATGGGGAGCAGAGATTTGGATTACCGGTAAATGAATCCGCCTTGAAGAGAGCAAACTGTCCTTCAGATGGAATTCTACCTGACAAGTTGTTATATGAAAGATCAAGTGTCACTAAGCTAGTCATATTCTGCATGTCAGTAGGAATTTCACCACTCAAATGGTTTTCTGACAGATTCAGACTGCTCAAAATCTTCAGTTTTGAAATTTCATGTGGGATTCTTCCACTAAGGTGATTGTTGCTGATATCTAAGGACATCAGACAGGAGCAATTTCCTACAGATTTCGGTATCTCCCCAGTTATGTAGTTGTCTTTTACATCGATGATCGATATGCTTTTCAGATTGAATAACTCATCAGGAATGTTTCCTGACAAGTTATTTCTTCCAAGAAAGAGTTTCTGTAAACTAACCAACTTCTGAATAGATGGAGGAATACTTCCGGTGATGGAGTTGCTCGAAAGGTCTAGAGTTTGGAGGGAATTTCCTGTAATATACAGGGGAAGTTCACCAACCAAGTTGTTGTGACTAAGATCAATCATATTAGCCCTTGGCAGGTTCAATACTCCAGAGGGAATCGAACCATTTAACGAGTTTGTTGCTAATCTTACTCGAACCAAGGTCTTGCAGTTTCCTAGCTCTTCAGGGATAGGACCAGTAAAAGAATTCCCAAACAATATAAGGTACTCTAGTCTTCTTCCTTTGCATAGCTGTTTTGGAATTTGACCTGTAATTTGATTGCCTGATACATCAACCGTTTCGAGTTTTCCATTCTGGCCTAGATTTTTAGGTAGTTGACTATTGAAGTTGTTGTTCCATACCTGAAATCTTGTAAGCCTAGGAAGCTCAGAGATAGAATAAGGGATCGGACCATTCATTTTGTTCGAAAATAGGTTCAGCCATTCAAGCTTCTTTAGCTGTGAAAAACTTTCAGGAATCATACCTGTGAGTGAATTAGACGAAAGATCAAGGTTTCTCAAATTGGCTAAATCACCAAATTCAGCTGGTATATGACCTGTAATGTTGTTTTTCTGCAGGAAAAGAGTGTCTAATTCACTCAGGTGACTTAAAGTTACAGGAATACTGCCATTAAGGTTGCATGTAGCAGCATCAAGAACTCGAAGTGATCGTATGAAACCCCACTCATTAGGTATACCTCCATTGTATGTGTTGAAATAGCCTACATACAAGAACTTGAGTTTCGACAAATGTGATAAACTCGAAGGAAGCTTACCAGTCAGTGCATTACCATTCAAGCCTAAGTACTCCAAGCCTTGGATCTCTGAGTATTGAGATGGAATCTCACCTGAGAAGTAATTTCCTCCAAGATCCAGATGCTTCAGTTTCTTAAGGCTCGCGAGCTCTGTAGGTAGTGGCCCGGAGAAGTTGTTATTGTAGACACCCATGACTTCTAGCTGAGTCATTTTGCTGAACATAATTGAATGCAACTGCTCACTTATGTTGTTGTTTGAGATGTTAAGGAATTGCAACGTCGATAAGTTTGCTACTTCCTGTGGAAGACTGCCTGACAGATTAGTACCTGTTAGAATCAGAGTTTTCAGCTGGCTAAACTGTCCGATTTCAGGTGGGATTGAACCATATAGAGGCACACATGAGATGTTTAGACCGATTACTCGAGAGCTCATGTCACATGAGACCCCTGAAAACAAGCAATGTGATGTTGGAGATGAAGATTGTTTCCAGTCTTCAAGGGCTGAGCTCCTAGGTCCAACCAAAGACGCCTTCAGTTTTAGCAGTAGTTCGAGTTCTGCGTACCCATAGCAGAATGTATAAGAAATGAACAAATGTATCAGTGAAAATTTCAGCAAGAAATAAGCCATTTTGTATTGATGAAGATTTTAAGAGTATAAGTTGTAGAAATGAATTATACAGACTTATAGTTGATAAACTTAGCAATGAATATGTTTTAGTTTAAAGTGGTTTTTTACCAAACAGAAAAAAACAAAGGAATCAGCATCTTAGCTTGGTTCTTTCAGATAATGCAACGTAGCCAAACATTTACCTGAATTGCAAAAGATTTATAATGAGGATGATTAAAGTTACTTTATGAAAGAACAAAGAACAAAGCCAAGTTACAATAGCATGCAATTTCTTCTTTAAAAGGAACTAAAAGGGGAAGAGGAATTTTGTAAAAAAAGTAAAAACAACCAGAACACTAAAACAAGCATATGTTCCAACAGCATTAACATTGATATGAAAAGCACTTTGAAGGAATCACGAGGTGCTACAATTCTGCAAATTACAGTTTAACCCTGAACCCTGGACCGACCATATTATACATATGATGTAGACGGAAATTGATCACGAGTAAATTATTGTGGGGGTAAAAAAAGTACAAGCATATGTTCCATGAGCATTAGCATTTATATGAAAAGCACTTTGAAGCACAAGGCAGCGATGTAATATAATTTACAAACCAAGAGCATATAATATAATGTTGATCCCGAGTTTAAAAAAAAAGGGTAGTCTGTCAGAACACCGTATGATAACCAACGCCCCACAAGGAGGCAGAAGGAACGTCTTCGATTGCTTGTCATTGATCCTGATCAATGATAGCAATCCTACAAGTATAGTCGTACCCATCAATTGTATACGATTATTAAAATATTGTTTTTAATTTAGCCTCATGGTCAATGTGGGACTCTATAATAAATTAATAATACGCTTTTAGTTTATTTATTTTTTGTGACTGTTCTAGTGTTCCACATTCAACCTTATTATAAAACCTTATTTGGTCTAAGTAAAGAAGTTCAAAATATAAATTGTTTATTTCTATGTGAAAAGATCTTTATAGCTTAGAAGCATTCATATGGGACACTTGAACAAAGAGAGTCACTACGAGCCTACGAGCATGAGATGAGGAACGATAGATGCATAACAATAACTCTGTATTAGACTTTTAGTTCAATATCGGGGGCACTTGGTGATCATTATACAGAGGTTGTCCTAAGAGCGACATCCAAAAATAAGGGAAACTTTGAGCATATCAGGGAATAGACGGAATTTAATCCCAATTTTTTTTTTTAAAAAAAAAGAGAGAAGTCTGTCAGAACACCGTATGATTACCAACGCCCCACAAGGAGGCACAAGGTGCGATCTTCGATTGCTTGTCATTAATCAGGACCAATGAAAGCGGATAGTCACACTCACATCATAACGGGCATAGATCATCACCCAGACTTAGTCATCTGGCTCCTTAGTGGCTAAGGATACAGAGGTACGACCTATAGAACAAATCCTACAAGTATGGTCGTACTCATCAAACTCTATGCCGTTATTAAAATATTGTTATTTATTTAGCATCATGGTCAATGTGGGACTTTATTACGAAGTATTAATACTTCATTGTTTTACGTTGACTTTATCACTATTCACATGTAACGCTTTGATCAATATTTATGTACTCATGGATAATTAAAGATATTAATAGTCAAAGTTCCGCATTGACAAGTGTGGTAATTAAATTAGGGCACGCAAATAAAAACAGAGGGAATATGATTTTTATATTTTCTTGAGATTGTTCCACATTCAACCTTATGATAAACCTTAGTTCGTTGGTCCAAGTGTTCAAGAATCAAGATTGTACAAAGATGTTCAATTCAAAACATAAATAAGGGAAATTTTAACTTTTTAAGCGTATTAGGGATGTAGATTGAGATACAGAATACCCGATATGAAATACTCCATAATTGTTACGCAGTTACACTTTCTTACTAGCTACCAGGATATTCATTGTGCTACAATTTTGGTTACAAAATTACTTCATGATTTTAGAAGAAATCTAATTTTACATTTGTTTAGGTAAAATTCTATTCTATACTACTACTTGCACTAGAAATTCAGAATATCCAAACTATTGTTCATTTCTTTATCTATTTTTTCCTTAATTGTTTTAAACTGTATTGACTGTACAAGAGCTCTTTTCTTAGAGCTTACAAATAATGACAAAACAAGGAAGCAAAGCTGTTGATTTTAACAAAAACAGCTCCTCAACATGAGAATTATTTGATCCTAGTTTTCCAGCCAAGGAATCAAACCCTGATCTTCTACCACCAACAAACTCTTGTATATTCTCCAACATTGGCCTATGTACTCTCCCCGCGATCACTCGACATACAATCAAAGCCTTCTTCAAGGAATTTCTATGGTTTTCTTTCTCCTCAACATCGGTATCTATGCTTCTATATGCCCTTTCACTCGTCGAAGTAGTAAATATTCCCATAATACTATTGCTTGTACCCTCGCTATGCAAGAATCCGTGTCTTAGAATGCAACAGACGTTGCATCTTTGCAAAGTGCAAAGACTTGAGGACCCTTTTTTGCCTAAGGAGCAAGCAATTGTTGTGCCATAGAACCTAAGGAGTTCGTTGCCATCGGCTAGGAGACGGGGATGTTTCTTGGAATGTTGTAGCTTGTTTGCTCGGATTTTAACCATTTCGCGGTACTCCTCAAATTGTGCTACCTTTGTTTGTGGGTTGTGGACTTTCAGGATCTTGTCGATGCGTCCTCGATTTTCGACATCAATCCATCCTGCCTTGAAAATCATCTCTATGACTTTCCTAGATGAGTCCCCTTCTAGTACTTCAGTCACTGCACCAAAATTGTACAAATAAAAATGAAAAGGATCATGCATTGCTCCTCATACTCAAAAATGTATCTATTTGGTTAACAAAAAATGCATAAGCAAAAATGCATATTGACTGTGAAACTTAATCTTTGCTCTAATTAAGCTAGCACACATTGACTTTGAAAATTAATGTAATGTACTAAAGCTACACTATTTTACCAAAAGTGATGATACTTTTCCTTGTATTCTTGATATCTTACCTAATGGGAAATGGTAAATTCACTTGCCCCATAGTCCGATTTTTGTGAGAGCTTTTTGGATTAAACGGGGCAAATAGAATGAAACAATTGGAGCATGGTGGCATAGGTGATCATTTTAAGACCATAAGGTGAAGATGGTGTGAGGCAAATCAGGACTATTTTTATGTATGCAATTTTTTTTTTTTTTTTGGGTGTTTAGGGAGTGAGCCACGAGGACGGGGGTGAGAATCGATCCCATGATTTTCTATAATCAGTTGAGTTATCCCTCACTTTCTATATGTATACAATATAACACAACCAAAAAGAAAATTGAAACCACATTGGAGATATTTTATGCCAAGTACCCAACAAACAAAACAACTAAACTTAAACTTGCAACACTAAGTTAAAACATTATAATAAATTATATTATATTTAAATATAATAAATTAAATTAAATTAAAATTTAAATTACCTGCATGCTTAGAAAGATGATGTTCTTCAGCATCCTGCCTAGCTAATGGCTCACCACATTTATGACAATTCTGTCTAAACTCCCCACCAAGTTCACCCTCGGCCATCGATAACCTTCTACTTCGAAACGACGACCCCGAAACAGCGCTACTCCCTGGCTCATTACTAACAGTTGAGGGAGAATCAAGCCCCTTATTCACATTCCTCAATCTTGGTCTAGGTGCAGGGGAACCAAGGTAAAATTTTGAGGGTGAACCATTAGCATTATGACCATGATCTTTTGTGTTCTTAAGATCAGAATTGGTGAATCTAACATGATGTGTAACAGGATTGATCAAATCACTGCTGCGTATCGACATCGGACTACGACTTGATGAGCTTTGTTTGATCCTCTTGCTGCCATGAATCACATCTCTGATGGTTGATTTACATGACAACGACGACGACGACAAAGGCGGTACGGTTGCTCGTGATTTAGGCTTACAGCAGCTGTTTGTGGTCTTTGTTTTGGGTTTTGGTTCATGAACTTCAGATGATGGGGTTGACTTGCAATCCAATGATTTCTTAACTGCTGTCCAAACTGCTGACATTTTTAAATTTCTCTGTTTTCCTCTGTTTCTTATACTCTGTTTTTAGTTTTTTTTACTCTGTTTCTCTCATTTTTGAGTTTGTGAGAACAATTTATAATGTATAAGTTGGTAATCTAAGAGAAAAGGGGGAAGAACAAGAAAGCATTTTTATGGAAAAAAATTGAAATTTTTCTTTGACCAAAAAATAAATATAGTCACCTTATGAATTTTATTATTGTGCATGTAATTCTGGCAACTTGGTTTTGTTCCTATATTTGTTGATTCAGCACGTATTAATGGCGTGGGAGAATGTGACAATAATTCTCAGAGCAAGGAAGTAAAAATAATTATTTTGTAATAATTATTTAATCTTCCTATTTTGTCACACTCATTATATAGGAACAATTATTCTGTATTAATGCTCATTAATAATTAAGAAATTATACTCATATAGTCATAATACCTCATTTGACTTTTACAATAAAGGTCAAAATTCACTTTCTACTGTATTCAAGGGATGCTCCTTAAAAGGTTAAAATTATACTTTAGGACATCCCTTGAAATTCTTAGTTGTAAAACTGTTTGCTTTCTCCTCTTCTCTAATGTAGGACATCTCACATGTAAATACCCACTGCAAGACATCTCACATGTAAATACCCACTGCAATTTATTATTTCAAGATTTATAGCCTTTTTTAGAAGTGTTGGTAACTTGGTATTATATTTGTCGTATTTAGATTATTTAAGCTTCATAAATAGCTAATCATATTGGATGGAATTGATATTACGATCATACAAGATCGTGCAATAATCTCTTCATATAACATTTCATTCATATGTGCACATACTCTTGATGCTTAAAATATTACTCCGAAAGTAAGAGAACTATACATTAATCAATTACTCAAAAAATTTAGTTCAAATCAATTACAATCCCGATAAATTTAGTTTTGCGTGCAAATTACATGATCT